ATCACTAGCAACATGTACATCGCCCAATTCGACCATGAATGAAGCCAGTTTAGCAGTATAAATGGCAATAAAAACAACACGTTTGTTTGTATTCTCCGATGTTCCAGGCAAATGGTTAGCACTCATTGAATCATTAGAAAATCGTCGTGCTCATATATCAATATCACCCATACCCTATGAATATTATTTACGACGTAATATTGATTTAACATACCCATTTTATCATAGTTCATATGTTATTCTTACATCACGTCAAGAATCTCCTCCATCCTTGGGCGCATTTCTACAACCGTTTAGTTGGGACACATGGTTTGTGATATTTTTAATTTTGAATGCAGCTGCATTATTTGAAACATTTTTTGAATGGCATAGTCCATACGGGTATATAATTTATCACCTTTCGCTGATACTAATCGATCATAGTCCATCTATTATTTCTTTTTAGTTTAACACCTAAAGGTCGACGGCGTCAAGAAGTATTTAGTTTAGCATCAGCTTTAACATTAAGTTGGTCGATTATATTCTCACACACATTCAAAACGAAATCACCCAAATGTTGGTCCAATCGATTTTTAGGAAATGTAGGATGTTTTCATTATGTGCCTTGTATCATACTCTCATAATCGTTTCTGTCTTTTAGGTTTGGGGTGGATTTGGTATTGTTTTTATTGCCATTTATACTGCTAAACTGGCTTCATTCATGGTCGAATTGGGCGATGTACATGTTGCTAGTGATGTTCAAGGAATTATAGTAAGCATATGTACCAACAAAGTAATAATAAAACTAGATTTTAAAAAGTCTCTCTCTCTCTACCTTCACTGTTGTTGTCTAATAATGGTATTTTTGTTTTAATAGGATATTTGTCGCACATTGCATAACTGTAGAGTGGGCGTTGTTCCCAATACAAGTGATGAAGAATATTTAAAAAAATATTATTCTAATTCTTTATATCAACATATTCAATATATTAAAAATTATTCAGTTGGTATCGATTCATTGAAGTAAGTGTTTTAATTTTAATTTCTATTATTCTCGTACTTTATCTCATATTCAATAATCTAATAGAAATCAAACAATAACATTTATGTTAATGGATCATTCAATTGCTCGTTACTATACAACTCGAGATGTCTCTAAATCGAAACAAATTAGTGGAGATAATTTTGGTACATTTGGTGTGTCATTAGGATTTTCAAAATATGATAATGAATTAAAAGAAAATATAACAGATATACTATTGAGTTATATGGATAAAGGTACGATAAATAAAACGTACCTAGAAAAAAAAATTTACTGACAATTTCAATTTTGTTTCAAAGGAATAATTCAACGTTTACATGACGAATGGTATGGTTATGAAAATTGTGAATTTAAAAGATTATCCAAGGTGAATGCGTTGTGTAACTGTCATATTATGAATCAAAATAGTTCATTGATATTTTCTTTTAGAATCGCAAGTTGAGCTTTGTTCGTTTTTTTGGTGTATTTATTTTATTGGGTGGTGGAGTACTAATTGGTTTACTAACATTAACTTTGGAATGGATCACATTTAAATATTTTGTACCATATTGGCGACAAAAACAATGGCCTGGCTGGATGTTTTGTAGTCAAGTAAATATAGACATTTAATATTTACAAATTAAAATACAGCAAACTTGTTTTTGATATGATTTTAGCGCTTATATGCAACATTAAATGTTCCAGATGATGTGTTTGAAGAAGCATATTACGATTATAAATGTTATTCGTTTAAAGAAGTTGGAGAACGGTAACAGCAATATTATAATTAAAATATTTGTGAAGAAAAAAGTTCATATCTCAAGATGTAGATAAGAACTTTGTGATAGCCATTAGAAAGCGTTCTCAATTTGTTTATTACTCTTATTTTAGATTACATAATTATTCTACAAGAAGTGATAGTTTAGATTTACGTGTTGTTGATATTCCCAAATTATTAAGTACAACGTATCGTTTAAAACGCGAAATTGATAATCTTAAACAAACAATTTCGTTAACACCCTATGATATATCTGACGAACAACAGGAATCACCATTATCTCAATTTGTAGAAGAAATTCCATTACTTGAACAATCTAACGATATACCTTTGAGACGAACATCTACTCAATCGTTATTCAATAAGAATCATTTAAATAAATTTTATTTAGAAACTCAGGGAACAGAAACAACAGCAAATATTGATAAAATAGCAGTCACAGTTGATCAACGAATTCAAGTATTGGAGAATGAATTAGACCAATTAAAGTTAAAATTAATATGTGTGGCAAATGAAAAAGAAGAGTTACGAAAAGAATTAAATAATGTGTTATCAAATCACTCGATATAATAAGATAATTCTTATTTTTTTATTTTGTTCAAATTGTGGTGCTATACAAAGAAACAGATTCTTTTTGTATTTTGTTTTTTTTTTTTTTTGTTTTCTTGCACAATTTGTGTGAATGTTGTTGCGTGTGTCTGTATTAGATTGCTCTTCTTCTATCTCACTGACCAGCGATATAAGGCAATAAAAAAAGGCGACGTACAAACAAATGAAAATCTTCCCAACTGTACTATAAATGTGATTTAACGATACACTTTAGAACAATGTTCTATAGTAGTAGACTCTAACATACACTGGTTCCTACACTGTGTACATCCGCTAATTTTTATTTCTAATGAACATTAGGTAGTACTCATTCGCTGTTCTGGCTGGTTACTTTAATTTTCCCGCTCCCCCCTCCCCCCGCATAATAGACCACCTGGCCTCCTACTTTGTCCCGCAAGTCGAGTTCTAGAAGGTGGTCTTCTATTGCGGTTTAATTCTGTCGCCTGCTAGTAGTCCAGCGGTAACCCCACGTACTTGAAGTCCATCCCCTATTAGAAGTATATTTTAGCGAAATTTTTTTGAAAATTCCCCTATAGGGAAGGCATATCCAATTCTTTTGGCAGACATAATAGAAGATCAGTGGTCTTCTATTTGGCTTCCAAGTCATATAAATGCATTTCTCTAACAGCAGGCGGACATAAAAACTTTTTTGTTCTGAATCGTTTTTCCATGAATAATTATCATTCTCTACTCATATCTGATGCCTTTAAAGAAAAAAAAGTTTTCAGAAAAATCAGTCTTGCAGAAAAATTTCGATGAATATTTGTTCAATCCAAACTTAACGTGTTATACAACGTTCAATGCAATTTTTCACGCTAATTCCGAACAGGCCTATAGTTCTCGTGAGAAATATTTTTAGACTGAGAACAATAGATTTCACTCCAAATACCACAAGTTTTTGGAAATCCTACTATAATTATTTAGACTAAATTTCACCAATTTTGATGAGCAGGATTAGAGACTCTGTTAATTAAATAAGTAGGAGTGAATAAAAATTTATGTAATTGGCGATTTAAATTAAATAAAGAAACTTGTATCTTCATTAGATTTCCCCCTAAATGTAGAACTAAAAGTGTTTAATTTTGTATGTTTGATGAATAAAAGTTAAATTCTTTTGATTCAAATACACATAAATTCTTTTTTAGGGTATATGAGTTGCATTATTTGTATTGTTGACTTAAGAGAGAAATGAATTCATTCGTAAATATAGAGATTTGAATTATTTCTGAAAATGTGTCTTAAAATTCTTTTATTTC